TTCTTATAGCCTATTTTGCCGTCTATGCTGCAACGCCCGAATCCCGAGATAGCCCTCCATGTACGTTACCAGCAGACACCAGTCAGACACGTTTCTGGTGTGCAAAGACACAGAAAACGCAACTTGTAACAAAGAATTTCCCATCGGGGCTCAATAAAGTAATTCTGATATTTAAACAGACAGTGTTTCTAATGCTAAAGGTTTTTTGTTTAGTTTTTTATATTTTTTATTAATCTTCTACATCCATGCACCACTCTTATTATGCAATAAGAAGCTATGTCTTCATCTTAATACATGGTTTTATAGGAGCTTTAAAGGAGCTTTACACACAACCTTATCAGAGCTAATGATAATGACCTGTATTGTTATACCTAGTCTTGATTTGCGTGTGTACAGTGGTTTTAGATTTAAAAGGGTTGTAAATCTAGTTCAAGTAAATTTTAGCACGCCATAGTCAACTTTAATCAGGTAATTTCACAACAACAAAAATGTGGCTAGTAAAAATGCTGTGTGGCTAGTAACTTTGGAAAACCACTAGCCACATTGGCTAGTGAGCAAAAAAGTTAATGTCAAGCCCTGAACGTATATATGAAACGTATGTTTTGTTTGAGTTTTTTAACTTATAGGCCTATTTAAGCATCACACCGCTCCTCTTTACTCACATGCTCTGGTGTGTGGCCTATACATGCATGCAAAAATAATATGAAACACACAACCATGAATGTTGAAAATATTCAAAATCAATTAATTCCCTCCTAGTCAAAAATATTATAAATCATCAGCAAGCACTTCATCAACTCGCCAGAGACACCAACTATCCCAGCTATTTTATCCCATGCCTCGTTCTGATAGGGTATGCGTGCGTTGAGATGCGGAATAGGCAATATAAAAATGCTGTCATTATAAAAGGTTTCTAGTTTCAATGTTTTGCTTGTTTTTAGTTTACATTTCATGTTGTGACACTTCTCTTCTCTCGTACATAATGCTGCTATGTCAGAGCGGCCAAAGCGTCAACAAGCTTCACCTTTGTTTCCCTGTATGTGATTGGCTGAAGCCTTTTCTGTCGCCGCAAAAGTAAAAAAAAAATCGACATCAAAGCGAAAAAAATAAAAGTCGTTTTTTCGCCGCAGCACATTCGCGTTCGGTGTGGAAGCACTCATTACACAAACAGCTGATCAAGAAATAAAACTGTTGCGCGAATTATTCGTGCGTTTAAAATCACGTCCAGTGTGAAAGGACCTTTAGTCTTTAAAAATGACTGACATTGACTGAATGATCAAATTTAGCACTCTTATGAAAATATGATCATATTTTGTGTCTTTATTTATATCTGAGTAATTTTCCAATTGTTTGTCATGAATAAACATCTGAACGTCATGGGGTTTCCAATCAGAATATGAACGAAATATTCTGAATATATTCCGAATATTATGAAACGGCACTGATTTCATACATGTCCTCTGTAGAGACACCAGGGGTGCTTCTCAATATCCCTCCCCGTCTCCTCGCTCCTCCATCCTATGACCCGGAAACCGATCGAGCTCAGCCATCTTGAAGGACATCTCAACTCTTTATTTGCGCTGCGAGGATCGAGGAGTGAGGAATAATCCAGAGGAGTTATGAGTGAGGATACACAGGTTTATCTATGCGGAAGTGTTTTATCGACTAAACGTGACGCTCGTATCAATTCTCTTCCCCCTTCACATCGGTCACAATCATTTAAATTTATACTTTACCTTGTATTTTATATAAACCACACCTCTCACATATTTTAACATGGTATCTTGCTTTATTATTTATTATGAATTTCTTAAATAACCAAACTAATGCAACATAAGGGCAGATCCTATGAGCGCTGCTGATGACGCTGTGAAGTGACGCTCGAGTTATCAAGTATTCCAATTAGACATGTGCCGGTATTCGGTAATGCGATAAATCGCGGTAATGAATATGCACGATATTGTTATCGCGGGGACTTCAAAATACAGTGAAAAATAATAGATCCGAATTTAGATTTTTAGAACGCGCATCAGCTTATTTTCCATCAATCGCTTAAAAAACAATGCGTATATGCTGCACAAAACACGTGCGCACTTTGATGTAAACAATCCCCACATGTATAAGCACTGTGTGCATGCAGTGCGCACTCTAGTCTAATGTAAACAATCCTCACATGGAGAAGAAGCATGGCGGAAGGAGGAACGCTGCCGACGATTTATTCCCCCTTCTAAAAGCAGGGCTGCCAACTCTCACGCATTCAGCTTGGGACTCACGCAATTGACACTTTCATACGGTCTCGTGCCACACATCCATTTTCTCACGCAGAGAAAAATCGCGGAGCAAAGAGGACACTGACACCGACAGACTAGACAGAGCAGGTTACTTTTGATATGAAAAAAATATCAGCTCTCAGGTTCTGTCCATTTTATAACGAAATTCTGACAATAAATACTGTTTTGGCGCTTGTAAATGTGACGTGACAGATCGCTGCGCCTCAGTTTAAGTAAACCGATCATCTGTTACTTTTTATTAAAAGATACAGTACAACCCACCGAAAGGTACGTAGGCCTACTTTCGATCAATCAGTGTTTTTCAACCACGGAAAGAGGTCAATAAAACTGCAGGAGAACAATTATGTCACAGAACGTTACATTTACCTCAGGAAAGCCATTTAATGTTAGTTGACTATAAAAAATAGCTATAGAGAGGAGTATTTTGCTAAATATGTGCGCTATATTACATATTTTAATATATGTTTACTTGTCATTATATAATTATTATTATAATGAAAATTATATTACATTTTTATATTTATATTATTATTATATTTATATTGTATGCATTATATTTAATTTATCTCTGTATGTTTACAGCATTATGCGAGATGCAGGCTATCTACTGTAGCCTACCTAATATTAATCCAAATGAGTCAATATTGAATCAAGATTGAAATCAAATCCAAGAATTTAATTGAAATCGTGAAAATTGTGTTGAGCAATAATACAAACAGTAGCCTCAGTAACTGTACCATGTAAACATTGTAACATGTTGTCACTAAAAAATAAAATTATTTTTAGTTACCAAATGTTTTGACAATCACAATTACACATTGTGATGCAAGTTTTTTTTTTTTAGAGACCCCCAATCCATCTGTTTCTCTTCTGCAATTAAAATATCGTGATAAAACCGTATACCGTGATAAAAGCTCAAACAATTAATCGGAGCATGAAAATTTGATACCGGCACATGCCTAATTCCAATGTATAAAAAAGCTTTCATTCGATTCCTTCGTCCTCCTTTTCTTTCCTTGCAGCCATAGATGTATACACTATCATGATGTATAGATGTATATATCTATGCCTTGCAGCCTTCCCTAGGACGCTTACAGGGGGGAGCTGAGAGACGCGAGGAAAGGAAGCGAGGATGCAATTTCCAAAAGATCATTTTTTTAATTCCTTTTTTTAGTTAACTTTATGGGTGTGTTCACTTATGCTAAGCACTGTAGGGTATGATTTTATCATTCAGTGGGCGTAACCGCCCACATTTGTGAGAATTCTCGATTCTCACAAATAAGAATTGAGAAGCACCCCAGGACTTACAGCAAGTTTATCAGACATTGTGGGGAGACACAACAAGTGAAAAGGGAAAGAAATTTTGAATCAGTATTCCTATGAAATATGAGATATTCTTATGAAACCGGTTTCAAGTTATTACTCCCATTTTTTGTTTTCATTACATGTTGCCACAAAAACACATTCATATTTAAATCAAATACATTGTATAGAATGGGACTACACATTTATGGCAATTCTACACATATTGCATAAAGTAAAATAGTTTATCAAATCATACTGTTATATATTTCATAGGGCTGGGGTAAACGATTATTAATTAAACGATTAGTCTGTCGATTATTTTATCGATTAGTCGACTAATCTTACAACTATTTGGACGAGTAAAATAACGATTATTTTTTCTGTTGCTCGATTGATAAAAACCATAATGTATCTCAAATAAATACCTATTTATTAAACACTTCATATAACAGTAATATTTCATTAAACAACAGTAATATTTCATTAAACAATTTTACTGTTATACAAAATGAAAGGTGTGATTTGATTTGGCAATTAAAAATTGTGATCAAGTTGATTATCCGAAGAAGAATTCTCCCGATAATAAGAGAGTCATATTTACTCCCGCCGTTTACCCGCGCTTCATTGAATTTCTTCACTTTGACATTCAGAGCACTGGGCAGAAATCACATCGCGTCAACACCCGCCGCGGGCCTTCGCGATGCTTTGTTTTAATTAAACCGTTGGATTCCCCAGGTCCGCACCAGTTATAAGCCGGCTGCTAGGCGTACATCGCCAAACCACCCCCGCACGCGAGGGGAGACGCCCAGACGGAGGTCCTGACGCGAGCCGTAGCTGCGTCCCCCCACCCCACCCCCCCCCCCCCCCCGAAGAGCCCGCGACCGGGGACCCGAGGGAGACCGCCAAACGGCGGGCGGATAGGGACCGAGCACACCCGGCTGACGTAATTTTAACGTCGACGTCATCGACGCGCCGCTACAGGCCTAATATTTCATAACATAGTTGAGAATCATCTTTATACAAAGTTTGGTTAAAATGCCCTGAAACCTAATTATTTATTGGTAAATTAAAAAAAATAAAACATTGTTTTCGCCTACATGTCTTATCATGCCATTTTATTTTCTTAATAACTGAGTCCTGGTGTCCTCTACAGACAAGAATAAAATAAAAAAAATTCTCCAATGATTTCTCATGCCACAAACAATGTAATGACATAAACTAAATTCACAAAGAAACCTCTTATATTTCTGGTTCTCATAACAATACATCTAGAACTAGATACTAGTAGACTCCATAGTAAACTAGATTTGTGCTACATTTAAAATGAATTCTTGATTTCTTCGTTTCTCATTTTCCTCCTTTGATTGAATTTGGGGAATTTATTATTTTATATCTTGATTTTAGACCCGGTGGAAGTGAATAAAGACAAATGGCACCATTTCACTAATGAAGATGGAGAACTGACGTATAAAAATGAAGACAAACATCTGTTACAAAGACCTCATCGTTTCAAAAATGAAGATGGAAATGAAGTTGTTTCACAGACTGAAGAGAATTTCACACAAAAACAAGCTGAAAAATCTGGAGACAAAGAATATTTCACCTGTTCTGAGTGTGGAATGTTTTACGTGCACAAATCAGACCTTAATAAACACATGAAATCTCACACTGGAGAAAATCTGTTCACATGCACTCAGTGTGGAAAGAGTTTCACACGTAAATCAACCCTTAACAGACACACGAGAGAACACACTGGAGAAAAACCATTCACATGCTCTCAGTGTGGAAAGAGTTTCAGTCGCAAAGAGGACGTAAATGTGCACATGAGAATTCACACTGGAGAAAAACTGTTCAAATGCTCTCAGTGTGGAAAGAGTTTCACTCATAAGGGAGGCCTTAATGTGCACATGAGAATTCACACTGGAGAGAGGCCTTATACATGCTCTCAGTGTGGAAATAGTTTCACATCCCAAAGCGTTCTCACCACTCATCTGCGCCGTCACTCTGGAGTGAGATCATTCAGCTGTGATCAGTGTGATAAAACATTTGTTTTGGCATCAAGCTTAAAAACACACCTTAAAACTCATGCTGGTGTGAAGCCTCACTTTTGTTTATTTTGTGGAAAGGGTTTTTCACGACTGCAGAATTTAAAACAGCATGAGAGTGTTCATACTGGTGTGAGACCTCATTGTTGCTCTGACTGTGGGAAGACCTTCACTACATCCAACAATTTAAAAACACACCAGAGAATTCATACTGGAGAGAAACCGCACCAGTGCTCTTCATGTGGAAAGAGTTTCACCCAATTATCTACTCTACAGAAACATGAGAAAACCCGTTGCCCGACGTTTTCTAATTAGCAAACGTTTGTGTTCAGATCCTTGACACAAACTTCGTCATACTCATATTCTAGTCAGAATGTGAGTCTGATACTGCTCCATAGGGCTTTGATTATGAGGCGTGTCTTAACCGAACCAGGAAAAAAAAACTCTGCACTCAATTGGATAGACCTACAACCAATCAGAGCAACGCAGTAAGTGACGTATGTTGAGCTACGCATAGTTGTCAACAGAACTGAACTGCACGCACACTGGAAGAAGTAGTAAAATAATGAGTGTTACTTCTTTTACTTGGTCCTCCATGAGTGCGACCAACGGAGAAACCACAACGACCACAGGGTTTCATTGCGTCCCGTCTTCTTAGCGACCATCGGAGCCAGATGATAAAATAAACTTTTGCCGAATCCCGTAGGCAGGACGCCAAACATCTGTCCGATCGACAAATGCCTTGATTGCAGTTCTCTGTTCGTCTTTTAAAATTAATGCGCTGTTCTTTTATGTATATGTATAGATAGCGGAATCTATACATCTCATTTCTCCAGCTGCAGTCATCTCTGAGGGAAATCAGTTCAACCCAAGCGCTCTTTGATAACGCGATGATTACGTAACTGCAGATCATCTGTCCATCATCGTATAAAGCCCGCCCTGGCAATTTGATTGGCCCGATGATTTCTGAACCGATCATAATTACTCCTCAATGGATCGAGTCCAGACCGAACTTCCCGACCAAAAAATGTTGTGGGCGGGGTTCGGGCTGGCATCCAGGCTATTCAGATCCATCACTTACAAGTAAATAATTTGACATAATTAATCAGATTAATCAAAAGCTGGATAATTTTCTAAAATTAGTAGTAAAGTTTGATTGTTTGACAAGGGGAACCTTTGGGGAAGGTCAAAATAATAGTTAGAATATATGAGGGATTTGAGTGAAAGTAGCAATAAAAGTCTTATTAAATCATAATCTATATTTCAAATAACTTGTTTTAGATGTATAGACGTGATGCGTTAAGATATTAAAGACTTTTTTGAGTTGAAAAAGATAGATAAGATAAAGAAAAAGAAAAAATTGCAGACAAACAGCAAATGCTTTTTAGTCATATTATTGCATTTGGATCTACATTCAAAATAATCAATTTTACTCATTTAAATGCGTAATTTCTAGATGCAGAACGCCATCTATGGACTGGAGAGTTCGCTTTTGAACAAATGTTCTCTTCTGATGTCTCTAAGGGGGCTTTCAAACTGGCAGTTTAGTTCGAAACAGGGCACGTATATTGTACAACTCATCAATTAAATATTTACTATCTTATACTCTGTGCAATTTGATGTTTTTAAATAAACATGGACAAAAAAAAAAAGTTTTAGGGCTAGATGATATGTCGATGTATAACTTAAGTTATTACCCGGATTTAGACCTACCTTTATTGTATTTATATAAAGCATTCAAAGGCAAATTATCTTTATGTATTTCCCCGACTTCAAAATCAGCCACATATAAATGTTAGGAAACACGATTCCTGGCAGCATGTCAATATCCATGGATCACTGGATCTTTAGTAAGTTGTAAAGAACACTATCGAGTCCAACTTTTAGTTTAAACTGATAATTGCTCATGTTTTCATAGTTTCCTCAATTAAATTCAGTCATGTAGCAGCTCTTTGCCACTCATACCCTCTTTATAAGCCCTGTGTTTTCACTCACTCTTTGCAAAGTCTTGTTAGTGTCGCACTGCATTTCTGAGAGCTCTCCCTCCGCTTATCCATGTTTTGGTTTTCATTTTCTGCCCAGTTTCTCGGATTTCCTTGTTTGACTCTTTTTCTGCTCTGTTGTCTCTTTGTATTATCTGTCCTGTGTTTTCACCTGTTGCCTGTTTTATGGATTATGATTCCAAATCTCTGTAATAAACGACTGCAGTTGGATCCTCAACCAGTTTCAGAGTATTTTGTGACAAAAAGATCTAGATGTGAATAAATCACTGGGTCCTGACCATATTGCTTCTCTGCAGCTGATTTTATTTTACCTCCGTTGACATATGTTTAATCTCTCCTTCAACCCCCCAAAAAATTCTGTCATGATTTACAGCATTTCTTTGTTCTGTTTAACACAAAAGAAGATATTTTGAAGAATGACAATAACCAAACAGTTGATGGGCATTGGCTTCCATATTATTATTTTCCCATACATGGAATTCAATGGGGTCCATCATCCGTTTGGTTACCCACATTATTCAAATTATCTTCTTTTGTGTTTAGCAGAAGAAAGGAATTCATACAGACTTGAAACAACTTGAGGGTGAGTAAATTGTCAGAATTTTCATTTTTGGGTGAACTACCCCTTTAATGACACAGACGGCAGCAGGAATATTAGGCTGATGTCACTTTACATTTACATTTAGTCATTTAGCAGACGCTTTTATCCAAAGCGACTTACAACTGAGGACTAAAGCACTTTAAGACCGAAAGCACGGATTCAATATACTGTTACACATGCAACTTATTTCCCAACTGTTTATGTTTACTTAAGACATAACCGACAGTGTTTAGGGGAATACTCGGCAAGCTGGGCGTTTAGGCATATTTCTGTGTGTTTTTAAGTGTTTAGGCACAAACCCAAAGTTCACTTTTCTTCTCCATATTCCACTTCGTCTCGGAGCGCACACAGAAAGCCGCTTGAGGATAGGGCAGGGTACCGAGTTCTGTACTTATTAGGTACCGACCGAATTGCCTCGATACTACTGAGTATCGAAACATGTCTTGTTTTTCGGTACCAAATTTCGCTACCTAAGTGGTTAATCTCGTCAACGTCAGTGAAACAATAAGCATGCAGCATGATTGGCTGTGGCGGAAAAACACTAGTTTACACGGCTGCCCAGAGACGTGCGTGAGGCTGTAGTGTGTGTGTATAAGCGTCCCAACCCAGAAAGATAGAAAATATGTGGAAATGATCCAAAGTGTACTTATGTGCCAGACTCGATGCCAGCAGCACCCGATGCAATATTTTTGACAAGATAATTGCTGCCAAGACCGGTAACACGGTAAATCTGATAACGCACTTAGAAGCGCACACAATACACTTGAGAGTAGAAAGTTTATCCGTCTTCGACTGCAAGAACTGGAGCGCGTCACAAATGAACCGAAACTCAGCATATAGGATACTTGCCTCACAGACATGAGAAATAGGCCTATAGACGGTCAAAATATGTCTACTTTTAAACGAAACAATTAGAAATAAATAGTTTGATTACCTAATCCATATAGGCGCGCGCATTCACTACTGCAGGAATCAGCAGTAGTCAGCATCGAGTCAGCATCGCCATAATCATCTTTGCACACTTAGTAAACACTTGTTCATTAATAAACCATTAAAATATCTCCTTGCTATTGTTTCCCGACACATCCATAATCATTAGGCTACTTTTGCCAGTGCTTTTGCGGCAAGCTTCATGTGTGCTGAGTACGAGGCATAGATCCCGCCCCCCAGTAGCCTATATTTAATTTAATTCACATTTATTTGTATAGCATTTTTCTCAATACATGTTGTTTCAAAGCAGCTTTACAGAAAATGCATGTGTCTAAATTACAATTTAGAGTGATCTGTTATCAGAGGTGACAGTGTAATGCATTCATTTTCATTCAGTTTCATTGTTAAACAATGCATTAAGTTAAGGCAGAAACAATGAGCTCATTGAAGTAAAGAATACATGTTGTTAAATGGTTAGGAAACATAGAAAACTTTAGCATTGGTGCTTTTTTACATACTCAAAATATGAGTGTAAAAAAGTCAACAAACTAAAAAAAAAAAAAAAAAAATTAGGTAATGTTATATTGTTAAAATTGGAATCGAAAAAAGTATCGTTCAGGAACCGGTATCGAAGTCAAGGTATCGGTATCCGTGTCGGTATCGAACATTTTGTTACTACTTGAGGAACAGTATCACTTTCGCCTCTTAATGCAGTCAAGCAACTCTTTATTATTGAGTATGTCCTGCAGTTTAGCGACAGTAGACTGTATTTTACGACAATCACTGATCTACACATCACTCCACTACACTTCACAATCACATAGTTTGGCATTAAGTTTGGGCTTTTTTTAGGGAGAAACGAAAAGTTCAGAAGGTGTTCAGTCAAATTTAATCGAGGTTGTTTAAAGAGTTGAAAAAAATGAAAATTCGGTCATTGTTTCCTCACGCTAATGTCGTTCTAAACCTGTAAGACCTTCGTTCATCTTAATGAATCTTCACAAATTAAGATATTTTGATATTATGAGCTTTCTGACCCTCCATAGACAGCAACGCAACAACCACTTTCAAGGCCCAGAAAGGTAGTAAATACATCGTTAAACTAGTCCATGTGACTCCAGTGGTTCATCCTTAATGTTATGAAGCAACGAGAATACCTTTTTCATCTCTTCTGTGTCAGTCTCCTATACGGTGTTGACGTAGTAAACACACTGCAGTTCTTCCTGGTTCTACGTCAGAATGCCGGCTAAGTATTTGCCGTCTTCTGCGTCAGCATCACAGGCATGTGTCGTGGTTCTCACGTGACTAGCGTCGGCCAATAATGAGCCGGTGTTTTTTTTTTTTGGAAGCATGTTTATTACACATTTTTTATTTTCTCACGTTCAATCGATGTCTGATTACAGCAATAAACCCTCATCAATATTCTTTCAGCTTTTCTCAGAACTGAATTGAAGTATATATAGTCTAACAGTGCTGGGAATATAGAGCTATTATTTAGATTATGTTGCCAGAAAGTGTTTGAACATAAATCTGTCTCCCAGGTATAATATTCGGGGAACAAGTAATCTTACATCATTATTTCATACATCCAATTTGTAACCATATCAACTTTAGTTAATATTATTATATTCAAGAAGAAAGACCCAAGGTCTAGCTAGGACCAAGGAACAGGACGGAGCACAGAACGTTTTAAATTATCTTTATTACAAAATGACTAACGTTTCGATGCCCATGCGTCTTCCTCAGAGTCAAACAATCAATGGCAAAGATCTACAGAATTTAACGAATCAAAATTCAAG